GAGAGAGAATCATCTTGCCAGGCTTTGTCCAGCTATGAGTTTGGGGTAGATCGTATATGCATTTCTTAGAAAAAGTAATCAAGTCTTGCTTTATCCTTTACATGATTTCTTTCTCCTTTTCTTTTTTTCAAGATTTTATTGGGGAATTGGGGAAGGGTAATAGCCAAGTTGTTGTCCTTCAGTCTTAGTTGTGGAGGGCGCAGCTAGTTCAGCTCCAAGTCCAGTCGCCATCCAGCTGCCCGTTGGCAGCTCGGGGGGAGCTCAGCTCAAGGTGCCGTGTTCAATCTTAGTTGCAGGTGGGCATAGCCCACTATCGCATGCGGGAGTCCAACCTTGTTGTTAGGAGCACGTGCTCTCACCAGCTGAGCCATCCTGCTACCTGTTGGCAGCTCAGCTCGGGCGCAGCTCACTGGCCCATGTGGGAATTGAACCTGCGACCCTGTTGCTCAGAGCTCGCACTCTTAACCAACTGAGCCACTCGGCCGACCCTATGTGATTTTTTGATAAGTGTGCGTAGCTCATTTTATTGGCAAAATTTTTTCATGTACTGAGTTCTGTAAAAATGCTAATATTTGAAAATTTATATACATAAATTTTAATCAGTAACTTTATTTTCAAGTATTACTATAGGTTTTCTTAATTCTATAATCAAGAGTTTTTTAGGCTATAAATGTGACTTTGGATATCATGTTGAAATTAAATTAGTCATTCTATAACATCATCTGTAGGATGTAGTCCAAACTCTATAGCACAGCCTACAAATCCTCATTAATTTGTCTTTTGCTAACCTTTCCGATTTCATTATTTACTATTCTCCTATAAGCTCTTTACTCCCACTAGTCAAAAAACTTTTTTGGTGTATTTCCCAAACGTAACCTGTCCTTACATTTGAATGTAATTTGGGAGAATTTTTGTTTTGTTTTGTTTTGTTTTTAACATGGAATACTAATCAGCATTGCTTTGTTTGCCTACAAATTTCTAACCCGTTTTTTCAAGACTCATTTCAGTGTGGTCCATCTTCAATATTTAACTTCTCTGCACAGGCAAAGTTAGGTGCTCTGCCCTATGTTCCATTATCATGCTATACTCCCTTTTATTCTAGTAAATAATAACATTGATTTATTTTCATATCAGTCTCTAACAGAAAACTTCTGACAACTTGAAGATGGGATTGGGTCTTATTGATATTTATTTCCAAGGATGAGTATATGTAGGTGTTTAAATTGTTTGCTGAATGAACAAATAATGATACGATAGAGAAATTAGCAGCAAAGGAATCTGTGGAATCTGGAGCAGTCCCAAAAGCAAAATAGGTATCTTTTAGGGGGGCAGGTGGGAGTGGGGTGACCGAGGAAAGAGGAGTTGGGTACATTGTGTTAGAAACCATAGCATCCTCTGACTTTGAATTTGCCATATTAGCAGGATTATTTTGCAGTCATATTATTTTTGCTTAAAATCTGTCAGTGAAATTTCTGAAGGAGCTGAAAGTACTTTTAAATACATTTCCCTATGTTTTTAGACTAATTTCATTATTATTATTTTTTATTTTAGGAAACACTCCTTTACATCTTGCTGTGATGTTAGGAAATAAAGGTTAGTAAATATTTTCTTTTTTATGTTTAACTTCATTCATGTATAGTCAGTTATAAAATTTTAAGATGACTTTGTCTTTTGAATTTTTTTCTTTAACATAGTTTTATTGAATTATAATGCACATACCATACAATTTACTCATTGAAGTTGTACAGTTCAGTGGTTTTTAGTATTATTGGGTTGTCTGAAAAGTCATGATGCATTTTTGCAACAAAAAACATAAAAAAAATACGTCATGACTTTTCCGACAACCCAGTATATCCACAGTTGTGCAACTATTACCACAATCAATTTTACAACACTTTTATCGCTCCAAAAAGAAATCTGGTACCCATTAGTAGTCACTTTCCATGTCCCCAACTTCCCCTCTGACCCTAGGCAACAACTAATGTATTTTCTGTAGGTAGAGTTGCCTATTCTAGAAATTTCACTAAATGAAATCATTTATATGTGGTCCTTTGTGATAGATTAAAAAAAAAATTAGTTTCAGGTGTACAAAACAATGTAATAGACATTTCACCCCTCACAAAATGATAACTCCCCTCCCCAATCTATTGCCACTCTGACATCATATATATCTATTACAATTCCATTGACTCTATTCCCCATACTATACTCCATATCCCATGACTATATATATATATATATATATATATATATATAAAATTATAGTTTACATACAATATTAATTAGCTTCAGATGTACAGCTCAGTGATCAAGCATCTATACCGTCCATGAAGTGGTCTCTAATAAGACAAGTGCCCATTTGACACCCTACAGAATCTTTACAACATTATTGATTATATTCCCCAAACTGTCTTTCCTATCCCTGTGGCAATATTGTGATGGATTCTTTTACTTAATGTAATGTTTTCAATGTTTATCCATGTTGTTACATGTATCAATACTTCATTCCTTTTTATGTTGAATAATATCCCATTGATTGTATATACTACATTTTGTTTATCCATTCATCAGTTGATGGACATTTGAATTGTTCCACTTTTGGCTATTATGAATAATGTTGCTATGAACATTCATGTACTAGTTTTGCGTGGACATAGATTTTTATTTCTTTTGGCCATATACTTAGAAGTAGAGTTGCTGGGTCATATAGTAAATCGTGTTTAACATTCTGAGGAACTACCAAACTGTTTTCCACAGTGGCAGCCCCTGTTTACATTCTCACCAGCAACACACAAGGGTTCTATTTTCTCCACACTCTCACCAACGCTTATTATCTGTGGTTTTTATTACAGCTATCCTAGTGGCCATGAAGTGGTTTCTCATTATGGTTTTTTATTTTTTTATTTTTTAGTAATTCTTTTATTTTTCAGTTACAGTTGACATACAATATTATGTTAGTTTCAGGTGTACACCATAGTGATTAGACATTTATATAACTTACAGGTGATCACCCTGATAAATCTAGTACCCATCTGACACCATACATAGTTATTACAATATTAACTATATTCCTTATGCTATACTTTACATCCCCATGACTATTTTGCAACTACCAATTTGTACTTCTTAATCCCTTCCCCTTTTTCACCAATCTCCCCAACCTGTCTCCTGTCTGTCTACCATCATAATGTTTTCTGTATCTGTGAGTTTGTTTCTGTTTTGTTCGTTTATTTTATACTTTAGATTCCACATGTAAGTGAAATGATAATGGCATTTGTCTTTCTCTGTCTGACTTACTCCACTCAGCATAACACTGTCTAAGTCCATCCATGTTGTTGCAGATGGCAAAATTTCATTCTTTTTTTATGGCTGAGTAATATTCCACTGTATATATGTACCACCTCTTCTTTATTAATTCATCGATGGACACCCAGGTTGCCTCCACATCTTGGCTATTGTAAATAATGCTGTAATGAACATATGGATGCACGTATCCCTTCGAAGTAGTGTTTTGGGTTTCTTTGGATAAATACCAAAAAGTGGGATTACTGGGTCCTTCTTTTTCTCTTATTATCACTTTTGTTTTAAAGTCTATTTTGTCTGGTGTAAGTATTGCTACCCCCCTTTTTTTTTTTTTTCTATTTTCATGAAATATATTTTTCCATTCCATTATTTTCAGTCTGTGTGTATCCTTCTATCTGAAGTCTCTTGTAGGCAAGCATATGTGTGGTTTTATTTTTTTCTTTATCCATTCAGCTTTCGTATATCTTTTGATTGGAGCATTTAATCCATTTACATTTTTTTCTGTGACTTTCTTCACTATTTAAAAAAACAAAAATCAACCTGATTATTTTATTTGCTAACTGAGCTTAGGATTCAGTATATTAAAAATAATATTTTTATAGCATTTTTCTTCAAAGAGTTAGTGGAAATCCTGTACTAATCTGTATGCTTTTTGAAACTATGTTTTTGTTTTTAACTTGGTTATTTCATTAAGCAAATATTTATAATTTCAGGAGACTTATTTTCAAATATTAAGGTTTATTAATTATTATAACACTTGATATTCAAAGAGTTTTATAAGATTCTTTAATATGGACTATATTTTGTATATCTAAACTCATGAGTCTAGCTTTTTATATGGTAGTAGATGATTGTAAAAAAACTTAGTAATTGCTTATTCTTTAAAAAAACAACTCTGTGCTCGCTTTGAGAGCTCATACACTAAAAAAAACCCCAAACAAAAGACAAAAACAAAAAACCCATGCTACTCATAGACACGTGATTTAAAAGATCTACTTTAACAAATACCATATGATTTCACTTATATGTGGACTCTAAAAAACTGAATGGGCAAGGAAAGTGAACAGAGGTGGTCTCAGAGATGTGGGGGTGCAGCTGATGGCTGTTGGTTGGGGGGGTGGG